CGAATTCAAAGCAGAAAGGAGCTGAAATAATATAAATGTTTACCGTTAAAATCGTTTGTTTATTTTTATAAGTGTGGTATTTCGTGTCCCCGGATTTTCAATTGGGACGTTTACCGGAAACTGGAATCACGATTACAAGTAATATTTCAGGTTATACCGCAGCAAGGTTTGAATTTCCATTCTATCATTTTGAGCCAGTTCCGAGAAAAACGAATCTCTTTTCTCTTACAAGGTTTTGTTAATCAATTGTTTTTACGGAAGAGGGATTTACGTGACCGACCAAACTATTATAAGCCTTCCGGAAAGTGAGCCCGCGTTCTTTCCTGAGGTGAAAAGCGGACAGAAAAGCGGACACCGCGAGAAACAGTCGTTGACCACGTGGAAAATCGGATGAAAAGGTCCACGCCCATCATATTCATAGCTTTAGGAGAATTCCACAATTAAAGCGATATTTTTCAAAAGACCCTAACCCTGAAGCATTATTATATGACCTTAGTTTTACGCTAATACATACTTTTGGTCACACATGCCAAAAATGCAATCAAATTAATTCGAACCGGGAGCTGCGCACGGGCGGCTTGGTAATGACGACAGCCCTTATACTGACTGGACTGATCTGGATCTGTCAGAACTGTCAGTTACGCGCGATCGCGATCGACACGCGTGTGTGTGACACTTCCACGCTTGTGTTGCGCGTAGCTGAAGAACCCTCATTTTTCAGCTGTTGTATTACCTTAAGATCTGTTTGTGGTCTAACAGAAAGCTCATCTTCCCCACATCCCGCAATACTTTTATTACGTTTTCTCGGCATGCTACCCACTAATAGACTCGGGTGGTGAGAGGCAACAACGTGAAACAATTGCTCTAGAGCCCAGTACCTAAGAATGAGGCCATTGCACGGCCAACCGCTCTGAACTCATCGCGCAGTTAGACTAAATGTGATTCAAGAATTTATCAAAATCGTTATCTTTAAAACACTGCATTTTACTGAATTTTAACTTCTTTTAGATTTAATTCTCAAAGAATGAACGCCAAACTGTACGCTTAACGCCAACTGTTTTGGAGAAAAGAAGGATTATTGACCTACCGCCCAAAATGCCACTCGCTAAACTTTAGCTGGTTTTTTTTAAAAAGGCACTTTATGTGCCAGCTGCAATTTTAATGACTTATTTGAATATGGAACAAAAAACTATTAAAAATTCCCCTAGGTGTCACCTGAAATCCGCTTTCATTTTTTCGCATGCGAAACTTTCTGTTGGCTTTTATCGTCAAAACAGGCCGACCTGAGGTGCTGTAAGCCTACTTTGTTGCCATGGACAATGTAATGATTGGCATTTTAATGCTCTGTGCCCCAGGGGGCACCAAAACTACCTGTGAAATGTATTCCGTTTAAAATTCGTCGAAAATGTCGAGATTTACCGTTAAAAACAAATGGTCGTCTTTAAAGAGGCGACTATCCGATGGAGACCAAGGGTTTTTGCTCTCGAGCGAAGTCTCCCCGGAATTTTGTGTTCGTTTGTTGCGATTTCCGTCTGTTCAAACCTACTGTGGGATCCATAGCAAGTTGAAGAACTCTTCGAGGGATTGGATGCTTCAATTTCTTGAGAACAACGGAATGGAGGTTTTGCTTGACGCTTTGGAAAAATTAGGCTCGTTGAAGTTGTTCTTCGATGCGGCGGTTATGCTTTTGGAATGTGCGTCTTGCATCAAGACGGTCATGAACTCGAAAACTGGTCTTGATTTCATGGTGGGAAATCGCGACTTTACACGAAGACTTGGCAGAGGTAACGTCAATTTCTTGAAAATTTAATTTACCTAGTGTCGTTATGACTGTAGTGGAGTCAACCTTGAATTAAAAATTGTATACGAATCGAGAGGAGATTTTATTTTTGCTGGTAGTGCTTCAGTTCTGTGATACGTAGAGAGAGGAAACAATTGATGATATTTTTTAGTTAATTCCAAAGCCGGGTACGAGAAAGTTTGCGAGCAGTGTATATCACCTATAAATTTTATTTTCATATATTAGACAAAAGTTTTCACAGTCCATACCGTATTGTCACAGGTTTTCTGCAACTTCCCACAGTTTCGAGAACAAGCACCCCTCTTTGTTGTAAACTGCAAACATGCGTTTAATACAAAATAAAACCCGGGCGATAGGCCGCTTCAATTTTGTGCACACAATGATATTTTGAATTTCTGAACAAACTAAGGCTTCTGTGTATTTATTTATTCCTTCCAAAAAAAATTAATTAACTTAAATCTTAGTATTGATCAAAATTCAATTTCTCCATACAATATTAGTACAAAACCAAGCAGACAGGTAACAGGATTAGAGACATTCATCGATAAAGAAATATTATCCTGATCTGACTCTAAATTCTTCCAACTGGAGTAATAACAAATGTACTGAAAGCAGTAAGGGGAATCTAAACTTCGAGCAAGGGAATGGACGAGTGCAATAGTAACGTTATAAAGGTGTTTGGCTTAATTAAACAAACAAGAAGATCTCGTTATCACACTGACAGATTATTTTAATATTAACGGGTGAATTGATGGTTGTTTTTTCTGGTCTTAAGCCCGGTTTCACTAAAATAATATGACTTTCTTTGATGTTGAATTCAAATTATTTTGCAGTAACAAAATAATTTCAGCTTTTCTAGCAATAACACC